ATTTTCTAATAATGAACTTTTCAATGAACCTAAATCATGCGTGACACCCATGGAAGAGTCTATAACTGTAAACATAGGTACGGATAATGATGTAAAAGAAGTCAAGATAGGATCTTCCCTTTCCCTCGATGAACAAAATGCATTTATAATTTTACTTAAAGAATATGTGGATGTGTTCGCATGGTCTTATGCTGACATGCCTGGTGTCAATCGTAATATTGCTGAACATCGTATACCACTCTACCCTGATAGCAAGGCAAAGCAACAAAAGCTTCGTAGAATGAAACCAGAAGTTAGTCTCAAAGTTAAGGAAGAAATTCAAAAGCAGCTTGATGCCAACTTCATCAAACCAATCAAGCATCCGGAATGGCTGGCGAATGTGGTGGTAGTACCCAAAAAATATGGAAGAGTCAGAGTGTGTATTGATTTTAGGGATTTAAATTCAGCATCGCCAAAAGACTATTTTCCATTGCCCCACATTGATGTTCTGGTTGATAACACTGCTGGACACGCCATGTTCTCATTCATGGATGGATTCTCGGGATATAATCAGATACTTATGTCGGAAGAGGACATGTCCAAAACTTCTTTTATTACCCCATGGGGAACCTTTTGTTATAGAGCAATGCCTTTCGGATTAAAGAATGCTGGGGCAACCTATCAACGGGCCACAACGACGATTTTTCATGACCTTATCCATGATATTGTGGAGGTCTATGTTGATGATATGATTGTCAAAAGTCATGATCGTGAGACGCACCTTGATGCTTTAAAATCATTCTTAGATAGAATCAGGAAATACAACCTGAGATTGAATCCTTAGAAATGTGTATTTGGAGTAACTTCGGGAAAACTTTTAGGCTTCGTCGTAAGTCAAGACGGAATTAAGGTCGATTCTGACAAGGTAAAGGCCATACAAGAGCTTCCTCCGCCAAGGACAGAAAAGGAGATTCGGGGATTTCTTGGTAGAATTCAATATATTAGTAGGTTCATATCGCAATTGACAACTTGGTGTGAACCTATATTCAAGTTACTTAAGAAAAATGTTCCTATAAAATGGAATGATGAATGCCAAGCCTCATTTGATTCAATGAAAGAATATCTCTCCAATCCTCCGGTTTTAATGCCGCCGAAACCAGGGCAGCCCTTGATATTATATCTTACTATTACAGAAACAGCCATGGGAGCTCTTTTGGCATAATACCAAGAGGGTACGAGGAAGGAAATAGCTATCTACTACCTCAGTAAAAAGTTCCTTGAGTATGAAACTAGATACACTCCTTTAGAAAGAGCTTGCATTGCCCTTATTTACGCGACAAAGAAGCTTCGACATTATTTGCAAGCACATACTACTTATCTGGTTTCAAGGTTAGATCCAATCAAGTACATTTTTGAGAAACCAATCTTGAGTGAAAGAATAGCAAGGTGGCATGCGATATTGTCAGAATTTGACATTCAGTGCGTGAATCAAAAGTCTGTCAAAGGGAGGGCTATATCTGAAGCTTTGGCTGATGGACCTATATCGGGTGATGAATTTGATGATGATTTTCCAGATGAACATATTTTCTGTCTTAGTACGTCACAGTGGAAGATGTATTTCGACGGAGCCTCAAATAGAAGGGGAAATGGTGCAGGGGTATTATTGATCGATCCTTATGGAGTACATATTCCTTTCGATGTGAAGCTTAGTTTCCCAATGACGAATAACACGGCTGAATATTAAGCCTGCATCTATGGAATCAAAGCAGCATTAGAAGCTGGTGCAAGAATCTCACGGTGTACGGTGATTCTTTTCTCATAATTTCCCAGACTATTGGAGCTTGGAAAGTTCGGGACGAAAGGTTGCAAATGTACACGGAGTATCTTCAACAATTTATCCCATTCTTTGAAGAAATAGAGTTCAAACATCTCCCTCGCGAACAAAACAGTTTCACTGATGCTTTGGAAAATCTAGCGGTAAATTTAACTTGGGACGATGATGTGAAGGTACAGTCAGTAACAATTGTAGAAAAAGAAATTCCCGTGGTTAATTTTGAACCAACAATTGTTTTATTGACCCAAGAAGATAATGAGGATGCTTGATATACTGATGTTAAGAAGTATTTAATCGATGGAGAATATCCTAAAGGAAGTCACAAGAAGGATCATTTGGCTATTCGAAGGCTAGCTTCCCATTTCACAATATTGAAAGGTTTGTTGTATCATAAAAGTTTCGATGGAAATTTGCAATGATGCATCGATGGGGAGCGGACACAAAGGATCATGGAAAAGGTACATGGGGGAGAATGTGGACCTCATATGAATGGACGAATGCTTGCTCGAAAGATTCTGCGAGCAGGGTATTATTGGACCACTTTGGAAAGTGATTGCATCCATTTCGTACGAATATGCACAAAATGTCAGCTATTTGCAAACCTTAATCATATTCCGCCAGTTAGCCTAAATAATTTTACTTCACCATGGCCTTTTTCCAGCTGGGGCATAGATATCATTGGGCAAATACATCCGAAAGCTTCGAACGGGCATCAATATATATTGGTTGCGGTCGATTACTTTTCGAAATGGGTAGAGGCATCATCATATTTGAAACTAGGGGCAAAACAAGTTTCAAAATTTGTAATCAATAACATTATCTGTCGGTATGGGATACCTTTTGAAATTATTTCAGACAATGGTTCACAATTTGAAGGCCATCTCAAAGAAACCCTTGAGAAGTACAAAATCAGACATCACCAATCATCACCGTATCTTCCTCAAACCAATGGAGCTGTTGAAGCAGCTAACAAAACCATCAAGACGATGATCGCCAAGATGACAGATAGGGCTCGAGAATGGCCTGATAAACTTCCCTATGCACTTTGGGGATACAGAATTTCCATTCGAACACCAACTGGGACTACTCCATATTCTTTGGTATATGGAATGGACCCGCTTCTTCCAATCGAAACGGAGATTCAATCGCTTCGCGTAATGAATGAAAGCGAGATATCTGAAGAACAATGGTTTAAAGAACAATATGATGAACTTTCTTTGGCAAGTGAACGAAGGTTACAAGCCCTTCACAACATTCAAATTTATCAAAGACGCATTGCTCGGGCTTTTAATAAAAAGGTTAGGGAAAGGAATATCCAAGAAGGAGATTTCGTACTTAAGGAAAATCGAGCACCGATTCATGATCCACGTGGAAAGTTCAAGCCAAACTGGTCTGGTCCCTTCCTGGTCAAACATCTTACACCAGCGGGAGAAGTAAAATTGATGGATCTTGATGGAAATGAATTTGTTCATTTCACCAACCTTGATCAGTTAAAAAAGTATTATACTTGACTGGTACAGTGTTGTATTTATGGGATTCCCAAAAAAAAAAAAAAAATCTTGAATCTCCTACTAGCTTTAGATGGTTATGTGTATCATGTTAAAGTTTAGATTTCATTCATGTTTGCCTTGCATGCTTAATGGTCATGTAGAAATATTCATTATTATTAAAAGATCATGATCAAGTCAATACTTAACAAAATATGATTACAATGGACAAACATTTTTTTTAACGCAAACTCTCTCGCTTTTTAGCGAGATTACATCCACTTTAAACCATGAAAACAACAACCACATACACCATACCCTAAAGACCAACGCCTTCGGATACGATTTTTCTTTTGGAATTGAAAATACATAAACAAAGGAAACACAAGTACAAGTATTGAATTACAATAAAGAAATTCTTCTAAGGATTGATTCAAGCATCACCCTCGAGGTCTTCCAACAACCATGTTGTGTAGGATGGGGTTGGAACATCGTTCTCAAGGACTGTAAACGCAGAGATCATTCGTGCAAATTGCCATACACGAGATGATGCCCTAAGAGCTTCCACATTACCAATCTCATAGGTGGTACAAGTTACCGCTGGAAGCTCATGAAGCTCTAGGAGTCGTTGGAGTTGGCCCGCTTGTCTCAAACATCTCCAAGGAAGATAGAAGGTGACGCGACATAATCCTGGAAGTTGAACACCCTTGCGTCTGCTAGTGCTAATTGTTATGGAATTTATATTGAGAAATGAAATGATCCATTCCACATCAGCTGCGGCAAAAAGTTATGTCCATCCACCTTGGTTGCAACATTGACGGAATATAGGAAAAAAGCCTTTCTCCCGAATATGTCGGGTTTGGTAAGGAGTTCGAAAAGGTGGTCTAGACAGCTTGAATTTCTCGCATAACCAAAGTTGAAGCACAATTGGACACCCTTTAACGAAACCACCTGGATTTTGTTTCAAATGGTCAAGCCCCATCATAAGTTCCCCTCGGATAAGAGGCCCTAAACGGTTCCCTGACTCAATCTGTGACAGCAAAGAAAGGCAACGAACATGATAGGGAAATAATGATTCTTTGAGCAAAACAAGGCCGAGCAATAAAAGGATGCAAACTCTTTCTTGGCACCTTTTGAAATCCTCATTATTGGCATATTCCCAATGAGATAAAGAGAAGGTCTCAAGGAAATTCTCTAAGATTAGGCTGTCAAGCAGGCGATAATTGCTTTCCATATTTAATGGTATGCCTAGTAAATCCCTCATGGCCGCATTGGTTGCCCTTGGGTCAGCGGGTGTAATCACACGGCCTTCTTTATAAAGACTTAGTAAACCCTCCACTTCTTCTAGAAGAGGAGCCATTTCCGTCTCTCCAAAACGAAAGACATGACGTTCTTCATCCCAAAATTCAACAGCAGCATGAATCATATCATACCGAGGTTGAATAGCTAGAAGAGGGGTAATGTTTCTGGTGAAGACACTTGTGTAAGGGGAAAGGCGAGGTGGAGAAATATTTTCTACCACCCCTTTTAGTTGGAGCTTTCTAGCTGCACTGATTTCATTGAATTCTTGAAATATGGCATTCATTTTTTCTTAGAATTTTGAGGAGAGAATAAATAAGACTTGAAAAGCTTGAAAGAAGAAGAAGGGAGTTGATTTGGTGTAGAAAGGAATGAATACCACTTTTTTTTATATAGGAGTGATGGTGGTAATAGAGCCAGGGAGAAAAGGCCGAAGGAGTTTACTTTTCCGAAAACTCAGTACAAACCACCTGCTGTTTTTGCATCCGAAATCCATGAATTTTTTTTTTATTGTTATCTTTTCTTCAAGCTCGTGCAAATCGGAGTTTTAATCTTCTGCAAGGTTAAACCAGTTTTTCAACTACACCCAAGCCAACATTTGTGTTGCAATTGAGTGAGAATTTCACTCTATTTTTTTTTCTTTTCTTTTTCTTTCTCTTTCAGCCATTTTTTCAACTGCACCTAAGCCAACATTTGTGTTGCAATTGAGTGAGAATTTCACTTTATTTTTCAGCCAGTTTTTCAACTGCACCCAAGCCAACATTTGTGTTGCAATTGAGTGAGAATTTCACTCTATTTTGTAGCCAGTTTTTCAACTGCACTCAGGTCAATGAAGATCAATTAGGATTTCTTTTTTTAACATACATCAAAATTTTGTGTCTTTTCTCAAACATTGATTATCGTTTTATTTAAACTCAATCAATGTGGGGCAATCTGTAGACACCAAATTTCGATCCTACCTTTTTAATTATCACTATTAATTATTTTTATAATTATTGTTTTTTTTTTGCTAATAATAATTATTATTTTGCTAATTATTTTTATAAACTTAATGACGTTTGTTTTATTACATAAAACGAAGGAAACGAGTAATAACAATGTTTTTTATTCATAATTTCCAAAATACATTTTACAATTTGTACTTCTAAATTACTAAATTACAAAATATTGAAGTACAACTGACACTACATACATTTCTACCCTGCTCCACCGAAGTAATTTTCGGGTTTTTACTTATGGATTAATAGGTAAATTAATACAACCATTAGGAGGACCACTAGCCCCACAATGTACATGAAATACACCCTTATCATCCTCATGTCTTCCTCAAAAGTGAAGATAGGCTGATTTTCCTGGTTTTCTTGAAACATGGTGGTTGAGTTTAATAGTGGTTTTTGTTTGATTTTTTCGGGTAAGGAGGAAGATGGAAGAAGATAAGAATTAAGTGGTGAGTGGAGATTTTGGATAAGGGTAATTTCTTTTTATAGTAAAAAGTAAGTATTTTTGTATAATAATCGTATTTTTGTACGTATTTGTATAATAATCGTATAATATAAAGTACAATATTTTTTTTATCTCGCTTGGGGAATATGTCATTTTCCTTATAAACAAGTATTGTTTAACCCTTTAGAGTATAGTAAGTATATTAATATGTTCACTTAGACCGTTAGGGTGCTTTTTTTATTTTATCTAGTTTTTTTTTTTTTTTTTTTTTTTTTGATTTGTGCAATATCCTATCATATGACCAATTTACCTAAGCTATAAAGTCCATTGCTCTAAAGACTCGTGTCCAACAAATATAGGGAAATGACAAATATTCCCACATCTAAATGGGTACTATATGTTGTAGTGCTAAAGGGACCTCCTTTTATGTACGCCTGTTCTAATATCTTTGTTCCGCAATTAATACTTGATCCGATACATACAAATCCGGACCTAACCTGTCCATATTTATCTAGGAGTTGTATGGACGAGTTTAGACGAGGGATAAATATGTATAATTGTGTATAGCTTCAGATGAATAGTTTTTTTTCAGCGATAATATCGGATTATGTTTTCATTTCGTTACGTTGCTCTGACATTTTCTTTGGCATTTATGTTTCATTGCATGGTAGCCTTTACTTTCTTTTCTTTTACTTTTTTTTTTATTATTTTTTTTTGTGTGTTGTTGTTGTTAGAAGTTCATGCATTATTGCATGGAACGTCTGACACCCTTATTATTATTATTATTATTATTATTATTTATTATTATTATTATTATTATTTATGTTGTATATTTCAGTCTAGTTTGTGTATTCCTTCTTCAATTTTGATAAGCAATTGTCAAAAGTGAATTAACGTTACCTTTTTTTTATCCCCCACGGTTAATGTGGTATCCAATAAATTTCAATTTGGATCAATTGTATCAATATTTATCCGACGCTAATTGGGATAGCAGGATTTCATACGCGTCCTGTATTGTATTTTACTATTCGAAACACTATTTGACACTATGCAAACACTATTTGGCACTATTCCAAATAGTAATTTCTGTTATGAAAATTTATTTTGCCGACATATACTTGGCTTCTGTTTTATTTGTTTTCCTGTTGTTTTGATCTAGTTTTGTATCTTTTGTCTTTGTTTTTTTTACGACTATGATAAATATAAATTCGCGTTTTAGTAGAGTAAAGTAAGATAAGAAATCACTTCTTTTTTTTTTTAAGGTCATTCGGTTAAGGGAATATTTTTTACTCTTGACCACCTTAAACTCAGGTTGTATGACTTAGTATTGTATGATGTATTTTCACGTTGACCATGTCAATCTTATGGTTTTATATGATCCACTTTTTTTAGTAAGGGTTATTATTTGAAATGCTCGTATGTATAAGGTTTTGTTGTATGTTCAGATGTTCTTGGGTAAATTTATATGTACTATCTAATAAGGGTAGGGGTTATTTCTCTTTTACTTTTTTACTAACTCTGAGATATTTTGTCCAACCCTTTTAGTATTGTAACCTAATGTCTTTGTATATCTTTTAGAGCTGACATCTCAGAGCTAACTTTTTTTTATATAAGTGTTGTTTTAACACCTTGGTGAGTATAATCGTGACTAATTAAATTTAGGCGCTTTTTTATTATATACCATGTGAGTATTATTATTATTTTTTTTTAGTTATGACACGACTTGGTCATACATATTTTTATATATATATATATACCATGGCATTTTAGAACCTTTTTATTATGTGAATATTAGAGTTGATTTTATTACGGTTTTCTTTATTTTATCAGTTTAAGCGTTGCAAAACAGATTAGCAAGTTTGTTACATGTAAAACAAGAGAATTTAATATCAAGATTCTTATTATTACCAAGATCTTAATATTTACCAAAGTAATCCTTGAATTTTAACTTATTTAATTTTTTATTTACAAATTAACCCCTTTATTTACCTATAAATACCCCCCTAATTCTCAAGTTTTAACACACAAAAAAAATTCTTACAACTCTTCTCTCTAAAAATTCTCCTCTAATCTTAATTTTAGTCAAAATCTCTCTAATTTAGCTTTATTATTAAGTTATTAGCTTATTAAAAAGCATCTTATAATTAAGTTGCTATTTTTATTTAAGTATTGTTATTATCTTTAATTCCTATAAAAAAAACACAAAAATATTTCAAGTTCAAGTATTGTTGTTATTATTATCTTTGTTAAAAATATTAGTTTAATTGCTTAAGTATTCTTATTCTATCTTAAAACCAAAAACAAAAGTTTATTTCTTAAGTTTAGCTTTATTTTTCAAGTTTATTTTCTCTAATAAAAAAAAAAAAAAAAAGAGTTCATTAGCTTCTTTTTGATTTAGTTTCTTTAATATATCAAAACTTAAAAAAAATTACTTAGACTCTTTAATTTAATTTTAAAGGAGTGATCATATTTTCATCCTTGTTAAACCAAAGTGGTTATCAAAAAATTGCTACATCTAGCTCAAGGTATTATCTTCAATCTTTTCTTAATTTCCTTAATTATTATTATTATGCTAACTAACATGTTTGTTTCCATGTGATGTTACCAATAGGGGTAATGATGGTATTAGGTGCTAAATTAGCCCTAAATCTTTCATTACTCCACATTAGAAAGCCAAGCCTATTGGTGAGGTGATAGGTTAAAAGAGGGGGGTAATTGCATTTTGCATTGCATCTCTTTATAATGCATTTTAAATATGAAATATTAATAAATTCATATGTATGCTTAAAGCATATTTTTAAGGATAATTTATTTCTTAAAGTGAGTTTAAACCTAATGAATTAAGAGTTTATTCAAGAGTAGTGAGTTACTTACCACGTCCCAAAGATGGCCTATGAAAGAAACTTTACGACCTGAATCAGTTCCAGTTCTTTAGCTCAAGTAATAGAACGTTTCAAGAGCTTTTCAACCATATCTCACAATAATTTTTTCGATTTTTCTATGATTTTTAATGATTTTTTTAGTTTAAACTATCAAAAAATTGAAATATGCACGTTTTTTTTTTAATTGCCTTTTAAAATTTTTATTAATGGTGGCATGAAACCTATATTACACCACATTATATATATATTTCCTAACTTATGAAGTTTTAATAAAAATGTTTTTAATCTTATTTTAAAAATGATTTTAGAAATAAGAGTTTTAACAAGCCCTAATTCTAAGTGTTGTTTTAAGAAACTTTAACCTTATTTTTAAAGTTGACTTCAGAAATAAGAGTCTTTAATTCTAAATGTTGTTGTTTTAAAATCTTTAATCTTATTATAAGATGACTTTTGAAATAAATGATGTCTTAAGGATTTTAATTTTCTTTTAAGACTTTAGAAATAAAAGTTTTAACAAATTTTATTTTTCTTTTATAATTTTGTGAACCTTCTTATTTCAAACCCTTTTGTGAAAAAGAATGAATCATAACTTTGATTGTTTGTTTTTAATAAATAATAATAGTTAATATGAGGTTATGGCCTCATTTCCAAACATGAGGTTAAGATTAATTATTTAGTGATATAAGGTTGTAACAATTATCCATCTCCATGAAAATAAGCTTACATCTCATTATAATTACCCGATGGATTAATTGACAATCGGATATGATTAAATAGTTTCTTGTTCCCTTTTATTTGGAAGAAATGCCTTGACAGGTGTCGTGTTTTACTTGACTAATTCCATTAAGCCTAAACACATAACCCTTAAAACCTTACAAAAAATTAACCTTGAGTGAATTTAAACCCAAAGTGAGATTATATAGTGAACCCTTACAATTTCGCTCCAAAAAATACCTTGACCCACTTAAAAGTCGTCAATTGGGATGCATTTGTTGAATTGTCTTATTCAAAAGACATTTTTGGTGATCACTAATCGGGGTGATTTTCCTCAACCAAGGTGGTTCATTTTACTTTTATGTGTGAATCCGTCAAAGATCACTAAAATCCCACTTACAAAAATGACGTGTATGTCAACAACCCAGATAAAAAAACCAATGGAATTGGTTATTTAAAACATGGCATTTTTCCGAACTACGAAGGTTTTGATCCGTGAGTGAATTCAAAATCTCACTATGATCGGTACGTAGTGCAACTTTGGTGCTCAAACCTACCTTGTATTAATTATTTTTTTTTATGTGGTTAATATGTCTTAAAACTTGATTTTTGACAAAGCAATAGTAAGAGCCCGTTCCTTAGAACGGAAGAGAAGACGAGGTCCAAACGTTCGATTCTCTTAACCTAAACCCCGAACCCTGTGCCTTTTTTTATGGAGTTAGCAGTTAATTTTATTTATTTATTTAATTTTATTTCTTAAAATTGATTGTTTTAAAATCCGTCCTTATTCGGATAAAAATAAGGTGGCGACTCTAATTTTTGTTTATAAGTCTTATCAGATACCTAAGTGGAACCTTTATAGACTACCCTCTATCCACTAAAAACCAGGTACCACACAACTTTGATATAATTTTGTATCTAAACTTATAATGTTGGCTTAATCTTAGAACTTAGAACGTAGCTTCTTTTATGTCAATTAAAGTCAAATTTACTTGTAAATATGTAATTATGAGGTGATTTGAGAAAGAATAACATCATAAGTTGAGAAATGAAGAAAATAGGCATGTAAGAAGCCATTTTGGCTTGAAATGGCTTCATTTTGAGGATATGGACCCGCAAACTTAGATATTTGCTTCTTTAATGTGATTTCAAGTCATAATATCTAATAACTATGTAAATATGAGATGGTTTGAGAAAGAATGAGTTCAAAAGTTAAGAAATAAAGAAAATAAGCATGTAAGAAGCCATTTTGGCTTGAAATGGCTTCATTTTGAGGATATGGACCCATAAACTTAGAAATATGCTTCTTTTATGTGATTTCAAGTCATAATCTCTTATAAATATGTAAAAATGAGATGGTTTGAGAAATAAAGAGTTCAAAAGTTAAGAAATAAACAAAATAGGCATGTAAGAAGCCATTTTGGCTTGAAATGGCTTCATTTTGAGGATATGAACCCATAAACGTAAAAATTTTCTTCTTTTATGTGATTTCAACTCATAATCTCTTATAAATATGTAAATATGAGATTTTTTGAGAAATAATGAGTTCAAAAGTTAAGAAATAAACAAAATAGGCATGTAAGAAGCCATTTTGGCTTGAAATGGCTTCATTTTGAGGATATGGACCAACAAACTTAGATATTTGCTTCTTTTATGTGATTTCAAGTCATAATCTCTTATGAATATGTAAATATGAGATGGTTTGAAAAATAATGAGTTCAAAAGTTAAGAAATAAAGAAAATAAGCATGTAAGAAGCCATTTTGGCTTGAAATGGCTTCATTTTGAGGATATGGACCCATAAACTTAGAAATAAGCTTCTTTAATGTGATATCAAGTCATAATATCTTATCAATATGTAAATATGATATTGTTTGAGAAATAATGAGTTCAAAAGTTAAGAAATAAACCAAATAGGCATGTAAGAAGCCATTTTGGCTTGAAATGGCTTCATTTTGAGGATATAGACCCATAAACTTAGAAATATGCTTCTTTTATGTGATTTCAAGTCATAATCTCTTATAATATGTAAATATGAGATGGTTTGAGAAATAATGAGTTCAAAAGTTAAGAAATAAATAAAACCATCCCATTTGCATGTACCCGGTGTACATTATTTTTACTGTACATCGGGTTTTCGCACGTGCTTTTTTTAAAAAAAAAAATCGCAGAATTTCAAATACCTAAAAATAAAAAAAAAACGCAGAACAACAATGGAGGAGAGAGAAAGTGAGAAAAAGCAGCTATCAATCATCCATTGAGGAGAGAGAAAGTGAGAAATCGCAAAAATTGCAGAAAACGATCATCAATCGAGGAGAAAAAAGGTTAGAAAACGCAAAAATTGCAGAAATCGATCATCAATCGAGGAGAAAAAAGGTGAGAAAACGCACAAATAGAATAATTCGATCATCAATTAAGGACAAAGAAAGTGAGAAAACTTACAAATTGCAGAATTCGATCATCAATGGAGAATTGACTTTCGATACAACAAATTGCAGCAATCTCATTCACGAATTGCTACAAAAACAGAGGCAAATTGAGACTGAATTTGAAATCGATATAAATCGATCGATTATAGAAGAAGAAGAAACTAATTGTTTTGGAGATGAATTCGTACCAATATTCAACAATCCAGACAATGCAGATGAAGCAATCGATAATGTAGATGAAGCAATTGAGAATGCAGAAGACGCAATTCACAATGCAGAAAATCAAGTGATTCCTGATAAATCAATTGATTCAAATTCAGAACAAACAACCAAATCAGATGCAACTGAAGGTAATTTCTATGAATTTTTGAGATTGTATGCAAAAAGTAACCCTTTGAATACATAATTGTTACCCTTTTCATGCATAAACGTGACCATACTTATGCCTAAATGTTACCCTCAGATTGAATGTAGAACTTTTTAGATTGCATGCAAAAAGTAACCCTTTGAATGCCTAAATGTTACCCTTTTCATGCTTAAAAGTGACCCTATTTATGCTCAAATGTTACACTCAGATTGTATGCTGAAAATTCAGATTGTATGCAAAAAGTAACCCTTTAAATGCCTAAATGTTACCTTTTTCATGCATAAAAGTTACCCTATTTATGCTCAAATGTTACACTCAGATTGTATGCTGAAAATTCAGATTGTATGCAAAAAGTAACCCTTTCAATGCCTAAATGTTACCTTTTTCATGCATAAAAGTTACCCTATTTTCAAACGAATGTTACCCTTTTTTTTATGCCGTCTGTGGTTATTATCTGATTTGTTTGTATTAAATAACAGATACAAATCCAATTGATGCTTATGGTTTAGATCTTAAAGGAACATTTGTTGGTGTGGTAAGAGAAACTTTTGAGGAAATTTTGGAATTGTATGAAAAACATGCTACTATACTGGGGTTTTCAATAAGAAAACATACAACTAGATTCAAACAACACACAAAAATAGTAACTGAGAAAAACTATGTGTGTTCTGCTGAGGGAAAGAGACATTCAGGTCAGAAGAAAACAAAGTTAGTTGAAATGGTTGATGAAGAGGATGTAAATGTAAAAACAAGAAAGCCAAGACAAGTATCCATTACAAGATCAAATTGCAAGGCATGCATAAGAGCAAAAGTGAATAAAGAAGGACAGTTTGAGGTGGTGGCTCATGTTATTCAGCATAACCACGAGCTAACAAAGCCACAGTGGCATTATTTGCATCGTTCTAAAAGAAAAATGACAGAGGAAAAAGTTGTAACAATCAAAACAATGAAATCTTCAGGTCTAACTACAATGGACACTTACAATTACATGGCTACAGAGGCTGGAGGAGAACAGAATATAGGCCATAGTGTTGTAGATCACCTGAATTTCTGCTCAAGGTTAAGAATGGAACAAATTGAGGCTGGAGATGCTCAAACTTTAGTGAACATTTTAAGTCAGGAACAATCAGAGGATCCAAACTTCTTTTTTAGAGTGAAGTTTGACAAAGAAGGAAGAATTTGCAATATCTTTTGGAGAGATTCAATGATGCTAGAAGACTATAGGATATATGGAGATGTTCTTGTCTTTGATACAACATACAGAACCAACAGATATAATCTTATATGTGCTCCATTTGTTGGCATAAATAACCACTGGCATAATTGTATGTTTGCTTGTGCTTTTATTGGGGATGAAATGACAGATTCATTTGTGTGGTTACTACAAACCTTCTTCAAAGCTATGGAGGATAGAAAACCAACTTCAATATTCACTGACCAGGACCAAGCAATGGCAAATGCTATACTGGAGGTAAAAGATTTATATTGACATCTTACAGATTTGAGCTATGACAATAAAGTTTTCCTTTTTCACATAAAGTTACCCTTTTAGCTGCATAAAGTTACCCTTTTTAGTGCATAAAGTAACCCTTTTAACAGCATAAAGTGACCCCTTTATTTTCAATGCAGGTGATTCCTAATACAAGACATAGACTTTGTATATGGCATTTGGAGCAAAATGCCATAACCAGATTTGGAGCTCTTAAAAAAGACAAAGAATTCAAATTTGCATTCAACCAGTGCTTAAAGATGTGTGTGACAGAACAAGAATTCGAAGCAAAGTGGCAAGCAATGTTGCAAAAATATGAGTTGACAGAACACTCTTGGTACAAAAGAGTGTATGAGTTGAAAGACAAATGGTGTCCTGCCCTTTGTAGAGATTTCTTTTCAGCAGGGATCTTATCGTCACAAAGGAGTGAAAGCACTAATCATGCCATAGGATTCAGAGCAAGTAAAGCAACTACTTTGACAGAATTTTATACCATATTTAAGAAGACAACTAATCGTTGGAGAAGCACAGAGAAATATGATGAGTTTACTTGTAGCAAGTCAATAGCATTCACTTCATTGCCTCTATCTGGAATGCTAAAGCATGCCGCACAGGTAAAAATTTAACTGACAAGTACATAAATTACACCTAATATATGGCAATTTAAATGAAGCTACATGATTTTGATGTACAGGTTTTCACTTTATCACTCTTTAGAAATTTTGAAGAGGAGTTTGGATACTCTATGGCAACAACTGTTCAGATGTTAGGCAGTAATGAAGAATGCCTACTTTATCAAGTAACACTAGAAGACAAGCCATGGTTTGCACATCAAGTAAACTATATACAAGAGAGCAAAATTGTATGGTGTACTTGCAAAAACTTTGAAGCATCTGGATGGTTATGTTATCATTGCATCAGAACATTTGCATTCAGTAACAAGAATACCAGACAAGTATGTTTCAAAAAGATGGACTAAGTTTGCAAAAACAGAGGCATGGGATAGGTTGAAGAATCAGGATCCTAAACAGCAATATATTCCATGGAGGCAAACAATGATGAGGAAATACTACAATCTAATCTTAAAAAGTCAAGAAAATGAAGAGACAAGAGCATTTATGGAAGAAAGCTTCAGAAATAGTCTTAAAATGGTGGAAGACTTACTTGCTAGTGCTGCTCAGAAAGAAAGTGCAGAAGCTGCTTCTAACATTCCTGATGTGGCAGACAACACTCAAAGCAATACTGACGCTTCTTCAGCATCGAGTACAAGCACATGTGTACCAATAATTCTTGATCCTAAAAGGGCTGTAACAAAAGGAAGAAGCAAGAGAGCAAAAGGAGGACTTGAAAAAAGCAAGAGAAAAAGAAAACCAGCACTGCCACCTCCAAATTCAGAATTTGGATCAAAGACACCTAACTTACGACTCTTTTAAGATCTTTTTTAGAACATTTTTTTTTCGAAATTAATATACCTTGTATTGTTAAACTATTTTTCTTTTGTTTTTTTACTCTATGACTAGTTTAATGAAAATGTGATTGACACTTTTATTAGCACATGTTTAATTATTGGAACACATCAACTTATGTTACCCTTTTAACGTATAAAAGTAACCCTTTTCATGCATAAAAGTAACCCTTTTCATGTATAAAAGTGACCCTTTTCATGCATAAAAGTGACCCTTTTCATGCATAAAAGTTATCCTTTCTATCCACTAAATCAACCTTTTCTTTGGCAATAGTTACCCTTTCTGTTAATAAAAGTTAACCCTTTTATCAATAAAAGTTACCCTTTTCATGCATAAAAGTTACACTATCTACCCACAAAAGTATACCTTATCATGTATAAACTTATTATTTCTACCCACAAAAGTAACCCTTTTTATGCTACAAAGTAAACCTTTTTATGCATGAAAGTGACCATTTTCATGCATAAAAGTTATCCTTTCTATCCACTAAATCAACCTTTTCTTTTCTAATAGTTACCCTTTCTGTTAATAAAAGTTACCCTTTTTATCACTAAAAGTTATCCTTTTCATGCATCCCCTGACCCTTTTATTTTACAGAAAAAAGTGTCCCTTTTCATGAATAGAAGTGACCCTTTTTCTACATAAAAGTGACCCTTTTCATTGCTAAAATTACCATTTCTAACAATAAAATCTACCTTTTTCTTGCTTAAAAGTTACCCTTTCTATAAATAAAAGTTACCCTTTCTATAAATAAAAGTTACCCTTTTCTGCATAAAAGTTACCCCATAAAAAACATAAAAATAAACCTTTTAATTACTTTATGTATTCACATACATTAGTATTCCAAAAACAACTAAAGACTTTAAACTAAGTTTAATTACATCATTAAACGTAATGTATGCACATACATTAAGTTTTTTCATTGTTAAAAAAACCCCCTGAACTAATCAGCTAACAACTATCAATTATTTCACTATATAGAAGGAGTAAACTTTTTTGCCTGCTTTTTTGCCCTTTTTCCTTTGTTCTTTTCCTCTTCTCCCTCTGCCTTTGCTTCTGCTTCTGCTGCCATTTTTCTTTCTTCTGTTTCTCTCTTCTTCTTTGCAGCAATTGCAGCCTTTAATCTTTCTTCAATTCCATTGACATAAGCAGGATCTTTCTTCTTCTCATTGAACTTGTGTAATTCTGACAACACATCGTTCCTAGATTCATTCAAATCACACAGTACCAGTGTGGTACAGATCTCTCCTCGTAAAAATTTCCTTCCATTAATCTCAAAACAGCAAAAAAAATAAAAATTATCAATATGTAATTAATAAAAGCAATAGAAAGGAAAAAACTACAGAAACTATTTAGATAATTACTGTTTTGAGATCATTGAATTTGAACGATTCACCAACAAAATGGAGCATGTGATACATGACAAAGACCCCACAGTCCAAATTGTCAACCTTTTCTTTTCTCCATTCAAACTCAACAACTTCAAAACCATAAGAAGGTAGCTGAGAACTCTTTGGATGATTTCTTTTGCCAAGAAAAGCACCCATTTGAACACACTGACATAAAATATAAAAGTTTAGAATACATTAAAATCAAAAAAGTTAAAATGGAAACAATGAATCAACAGTAACATAACAAAAAAACAAACATAAACATACCATCTTTGAACACAATTCTTTTGTATAAACAAGAGCAGAATCAGTCCAGATAATGTTGTCAAGATAATATACCAACTCTTTTGTATGATCAATAACATACAAAATGTAGTGATTCTCAATAAGAACAGAAAAATAGATCTGAAACAGCAAAATTAAAGAGATTTAAACAGAGCATATCATAAAGAGAACTCTTTTAAATTTATTACATTAAGTTTAGAATAAAAATACCAGATCAACATCCATTATATTACATTCTGGATTCTCATAGCTAACCCAACCTTCCCATATGTCGTGCAAATCCTTAACAGCACTAGATATGTTACCTTTGCCAATATTGTCACAAACATGCAAGAATGAAAACTATTAAAGTATAAGATCTCAATAATATATATATAAAGTAAATGTGTTAAGATATAAAATAAGGAATGAAATAACTTACACTTTGCCTAAAACCGAAGAAGAATTTCCGAGGACCAGTAGCCTGAAAACATGCTTTCTCATTCAAATACAGACAGAAGCAATCAATAACGCATCATCGAATCCTGAGTGGAGCAACAAGGGACACCATGTCTTCTCTTGGAATTAAAAAGTTCATTCCAAAAGTAACAAGGCTCTCACTGAAACAATAAAAAATAAGATCAACATTAAAAAAAATATATAAGAAAAAAAACAGATAAAAAAATAATTATAATAAAGAAGGACACTTAACTTCCTATCCATTGAAAAATCCTTCAGCAAACAATAATCGAGAATTTCCAAATGTAACTAAGGCAAATTCTTGAAAATCCGAGCATTGCTCTTTACAAAAAGAGTTACAAAAGGCACCTGCACACCTACATGTCCACAGTCCAGAGAGCATAGAGATTTATTTGCTCTGAGTCGAGGAGGTTCATTTTGATCAATATGCCCGACAGGAATATTTTGAGTAGGACCAGGAATGATAGCAGAAGGTCCAGAACCATTAAGGCCTTCATCAACTATTTTTCCATGATCATTGTCATCATCCTTAGGAATATTTTCATTGAAACCTTGTGCAGGTTCTTTTTCAGGAACAAAATCTTTGTTACCTTCTGTAGGTTCATAAAAACCGCGAAACATATCATGTACAGACTTCATTTTATTACACTCATCAATTAAACCATCTAAAATCTTCAAATAATGAGGATCAGAGAGTAGCAGTTCAGTTTGAGAAACTGAAACAAAATCATCAGAAGATAATGAAACACTTCTGCGAGAAGTAATCAGATCATTCAAGGTTTGAAAACCAGTTGACTGAACAAATAATAAAACATCCATATTTCTTTTAAACAAAAGAAACGTTTCATGAACAACCTACAAACATATGAACAATGAAAAAAAAATGTTACAAATAAAAATAATAAAATATGTAGGAAATCTAAATATATGCTAAAAGTGACCCTTTTAAATGCATAAACTGACCCTTTTAAATGAAAAAAGTTACCCTTTTGTATGAATAAAGTAACCCTTTAACTTAATATTGAAGATAACTTTAATGCAACTAAAGGGTAACTTCAGTGCAAATAAAGGGTAACTTTGGTACATAAAAAGGGTAACTTTTGTACACAAAAGGGTAACTATTGTACACAAAACGGTAACTTTTGTACACAAAAAAGGGTAACTTTTGTACACAAAAAGGGTAACTTTTGTACACAAAAAGGATAACTTTTGTAAACAAAAAGCAATAATAACTAAACATATAAGAAAACAGAACACTTACATCAGTTGAAATTTTTTTAATTTCTTCATCGGTCAGAATACCTTCTGGAAGCTCAAATGCAACAATGCGACCAGTGGTACCACTTGTAGAAGGACCCTTATCATAACCCAAAGTAGGAGCTGGCTTAAAAACAGTTCCCCTAAAATTAAGCTGTGACACAGGATATGTAATAGTATCCAATGGTCCCTGCCCATAACCACCAGCTTTGATCTCTAACTTAATTCGCTTCTTAATCTTTACATCCATCCAATGTTGAATTAAAGGAAGAGTACTACTTTCCTTTTCACCTTGAAAATTTAGACGATGAAAATACATAATTTGCAAAGCCAGCAAACAACCACTAACATTTTGAGCATTTTCATCATCCTTATACTTCTGAACAGCCTTCTTTAACTTTTTTAAAACATATGAACACCAATCAAAAGTTTTAATTTCATCAACTTTTTCAACAGCTTTCAGCAACTTCAATGAAACAGTCCTATTAGTAGTAGGAGCTAAAAAGCTAGACATAGCTTGAAGAACAAAACACCACTTAAATTCTTCCCCTCCATCAACCAAATCAACCATCCTAGACTCCAATTTTGACAAATGAAGAGGTTGCTTACCAGAAAGACCATAATCAGATCTCCATGCCTGAATGATACATTTATCTACACTTTCATCTTCAGAATTTTTATTAAGTTCAGGAACACAAATATCACTCAAAGGCAAGCAAAGCACATCGCATATATCATTTCTAGTAACAACAAATTCTTTACCAGTAGCGATGGTAAACATGCAGCTACCAGCATTGAAGTTTTCAACAAGCCAAGGTAGCATTTGACGATTAAGAGTTTTCAATTTAAGATGTAATAAACCTCCAAAACCAATTTCTTCAACAGCCTGTTTTTGCTCAGGACTAAAGTTCTACAGCAATATTTCCAATGAATAGGGTCTACATCTTGCAATGATTCTTCTTTGCTCCCTAAATAGAAAAAAAAAGAAAGAAAATGTAACTAAAACAATATAAAATAAAAACAAAATATAATTAAAAATGTAATAAAAAAATATGTATACGTACATAAAAGATTCAGAATCAGATTCAGAAAGCATTTCATAATCAGAATCTTCCACTGTATTAGCTTTCTTAGGTACAATTTTGGCCTTCTCAGACTCTGGTTTGTCACTCTCAGGAATTTTCCCAGCCTTTTTAGATACTGCTTTGCTCTTCTCAGGAGCTATCTGGGTCTTTTTTGGTATTGGTTTAGGCTTAGCAGGCTCTTTAGGCTTTCCTTTTCCTTTTGTAGGCTTTTTTTAACGATAACCACCTATTGAACCACCTGTATTTAATTATTAAAGTAATATAAATACAAATTCAGAAATTACTCATGGAAAAATATAGAATAATGTGCACAAATGACACTTTTAAATGCATAAAGTGACCCTTTTAACAGCACAAAGTAACCCTTTTAACAGTATAAAGTGACCCTTTTAACAGCATAAAGTGACCCTTTTAACAGCATAAAGTGACCCTTTTATATGCAAAAAGTGACCCTTTTAACATCACAAAGTGACCCTTTTAACAGTATAAA